AATTATTGGATTTCGATTTCATGCGAAAAAATTCTTTGTGATCTTTGAAAAAATGTAACGAGTTTTTTGCCTCGCTGGTTCGAAGTTGGCTGTGGAAGGAATAGGCGAAAGGAGGTAAAGAGGTTAGGCGCTGCGTTCGCCTCGAGCGCCTCCCCCCTCTCCTGCTACTGTACTTACGTTTTTACACGGCCTTCTCGAGAAAGCGTTAATTATTCCGTCCAGAAACCGTCGTATATTGTTACACTCGTTGCTCAAGAATTAATTTATTTATCCGCCAAAAAAAAAGAAGGGGAAAAAAACGAGAACCAATTTTCCAGGCTGCGATTAAGATATTTAATAAACTTTTTATCCCTCGATCGTAAGTAAGAATTGATTTTTCGTGTCTCGCTTCGCTTACGATCAATACATCTGTGGGTATTAATTTTTTAAGAATTCTAATCGAACAAAACAATTATGCAAAATAATTAAAATTATTTATTTATTCTTCGCAATATCGCGACACGATTTTCACGCGAAATTAACCGTGAAAAAATTAATAATCGAGCACGTATTCCTTTCGACAAATTTCGACGAAGGAACAATCTTCCTTCGCTTCCATCCCGTCCCCATTCAGAGGCGAGACGCGTCGAATCAAAGAGGGATGTCTCGAAGGTGTCCCCAGGAGGACAAGGTCCCTCTTTTCACGTCGACGAACGCGGGATCGTGACTCAGCAACGAAATAGAATCTCCGGGGAAACGGGTGATCCGCTGCCAACACCTCCTCGCGGCAATATACGGCAAACTGATGTCGCTTCGGTCGAGGTTATGGACACGCGTGAATCCCGTGTCGAATCTCGTTGGACAAATATTTGGAATATATCGTGTATATATATATATATATTCTGTGAAGCGGAGATCGATCGATCCCCGAAGATTCCACGCCTGTTTCGAAAATCTCGTATTTCGAATCTCGTTTGTGATAAATATTTAGAATAACGGGAGAAATGGAAAGTATTGCAAGTGTTTAGAGTTGAATTTTTTGGAAAACGTTTAAAAAAATTTGGGATAGGAGAAGTTGAATTTTTCGACGATTTAATAAAAATTGGTTAATAAAATCGATGATGAATTCGTTTCGAGAGAGCGTTGAAGTATTAGAAGAGTGATCGTTTATTACGTGGTGAACTTACGTAATAAGAGGTAGGGGGGGGGGGGAAAGATCGATAAAGCGAATGATGTGTAATTCTTGTACGAGATTAACTCGATGTTTTCTTCGGTTGCAAGTATTTTCCTTCTCCTTTTTTCTTTGTGAATAATTTTCCGCGATGTAATTAACCGCGCGAGGGTTTCCTATTCTCATAACGCGTTATTAATTCATCGATGTAGATTAGCATGTATAAACGGATGGACACGTACCGATTATCAGTATACACAAGTAGCATAAACATTTTAATAAGATCCGTAAGAAAATGTTTCCTTGAGTAGAATCCACTCGTTTCTGTTCTCCATGAATCTTTCTCAAGTGTCTATAAGAATTCTTATAGACAATATACTATGAGAATGCAAGATACTAATCGATCAATAATTAGAATAATTGGAAAGGAAAATTAAATTAGAAAAGATAAAAAGATAAATTAGATAAATAAAAATTTTTTTTAAGTAGAATTCATTCGTTCAAACTTCTCCATAAATTTTTGTCAAGTATCTATATATAATATAAGAATACTCAACTCGATACTAATCGATAATTAGAATAATTGAAAAAAAAAATTAAATTAGAAAAGATAAAATAAAAATTTTTCTGCCTTAAGTAGAATCCACTTGTTCCAACTTCTCCATGAATCTTTATCAAGTGTTTATAAGAATTCTTATAGACAATATACTATGAGAATTCAAGATACTAATCGATAAATAATTAGAATAATTGGAAAGGAAAGCCAAATTAGAAAAAAAATAAATAAAAATTTTCCTCTCTGAATCTTCCTCAAGTGTCTATAAGAATAAACAATATACTATGAAAATTCAAGATACTAATCGATAAATAATTAGAATAATTGAAAAGAGAATTAGAAAAAAATAAAAAATAAAAATTTTCTTATCTTAAGTAGAATTCATTCGTTCCAACTTCTCCATGAATCTTTATCAAGTATCTATAAGAATTCTTATAGACAATATACTATGAGAATTCAAGATACTAATTGATAAATAATTAGAATAATTGGAAAGGAAAGCCAAATTAGAAAAAAAATAAATAAAAATTTTCCTCTCTGAATTCTCAAGTGTTTATAAGAATTCTTATAGATAATATACTATGAGAATTCAAGATACTAATCGATAAATAATTAGAATAATTGGAAAGGAAAGCCAAATTAGAAAAGATAAAATAAAAATTTTCCTGTCTTAAGTAGAATCCATTTTCTTCACGAATCTCTGTCAAGTATCTGTAACAATTCTCAATTCTGTTCTAATTCAAATTAATCCTTAACCAATTCATATCGATTTCTAGTAATCAATCATCACGAAGAATCGGAAGAAAAAATTAGAAAAAAAATAAATAAAAATTTTCCTCTTCAAATCTCTGTCAATTGTCTATAAGAATTCTCATAGACAATATACTGATCGATCAATAATTAGAATAATTAAAAAGAGAAGCCAAATTAGAAGAAGGATAAAATAAAAATTTTAAGTAAAATCCATCGTTCGATACGCGAGAATAAATATTTTTGAAAAATCCTTATTCAAACACTTGCACGACATTTAAAATACGCAAAACTCCTCCACGAATTCTCCACGTCCGTATACTCGAAACCCCCGCCCATAATCGAAGAATTAGAGGGAGAAGAGGCAAATTAGAAAAAAAAGGAAAAAAATTTCCGCCAATCTACGATCAACAAGTTAAAGGCGTAAATACAGGCCGGTAAATAAAGCGATGAAAGTGATAAATCGCGACGGTTCCACCACCCCTCCTCCTCTCCCTCCCCCTCCTCCTCCACCCCTGGCCCGTATCGCGTTATTAAAACTTTCGTAATGGCCGATAATAAGCGGAGCCGGGCCCGGGTGGATTGATATTAAATCGTAAACTAGCGAGTTCCCATTTATCATTATATCACGGCCGGAAACTCGCCTCTGCCCGCTGCGAAACTTGGCCGAGGAAATTCCATCGAAACGGGTTTCCACTCGGGAGGAAAGCCTCTCTCTCTCTCCTCTCTCTCTCTCGAGTCGATGCAAATCATCGACGTTTTTCCTCCTCTTTTGCGATCGAAACGAGTTGTTCCAGGAGGAGTGGAAATGGAACTCGATATTGGAACCAGTTTTCAGAATTGAGCATTGGATTGGCAGCAAAGTTTATCAGGATTCGTAGGCAGATAAGAGAAACGGAGATTTTGTTTTTTACGTGTATTATTTATGGAAAATTCACAATTGAGTAAGTTCCTTGGCGAATAATTTATTCGTGAGCACAATTATCCTGTCGCGTTTCATCCCCTAAATCCATTGTTTTTCAAACGCAGAAGAGTGGCACAAAAAGGAGGAGGAGGAGGAGGAGGAAAAGCTCACCCTTGATTCCCTTGGCACACGTGGCACGGCTCTCATGTGCGATCTCTCGCGATAATCGTCATCATCATCGGGAAGGAGAGGGTGGAAGAGGAAACGAAGAAGGGGAGAATCGTCGTTGACGAACTGGAGGGGTGTGTAGGAGGGGGATGTAAAAGGAGAGAGGGTGTCGTGGCCGGGAAAAGTGATTGATCGTGTTTCGCCGGAAGGGAGGAACGAAGAAGAAGAAGAAGAAGAAGAGGAGGAGGAGGAGGAGTCGTTTCGAGCCGCGAAAACGAGAAGACAACGTCCGCGCCGACCCTCTTCACCCCTCGTTTCACGTCATCCGCAAGACCCTTCAGGAACCGTCCGGCAACCCCCATCGAGGTGGCGTTCCGTTCTCGAGCTCGAGAGCCGGGAAGTGGACCGTAAGAAGAAAACTAGAAATAAGAGGAGGAAAGGCCAAAGAGGGGAAAAACTCGTTCCAAGTTTCCTCTACTCTCCTAGAGAATAGTCTTTGTATAATTCGAACGTTTCTTCTTCGGATAGACAGCCAGACATGGCAAATAACAATGGAAGAAATGGTACAAGCATTCACTCGATCTTGCCTTTATTATGAAACTTTGGAAATTTTGGAAATTTTCCATCCTTAATAATAACGGTCTCGAGCCAGGTAAAAGTAAAATGCGAATCGAGTGTGTATATATATATATATATATATATATACATATATATATTGTCAAGAGGAGCGAGAACTCTTGTGAGAACAGTGTCGTGGCACACCGAGGCAAAACAGAGTGAGTGTGCTCTTTGTGTAATGACTCGGCGCTTTGCTCCACGCAGCTGATCGCGGGTAGACGTACTTGACCGAGTGCACCGAGTGCACACTTGTGGAGCACTAATATAAACACGCCCGGTGAAAGAACGGCCATTGCTTTCGACACACGATCGCCGGCTTGCGCAACCGGTATCCCGATTATTATCGTCGCTACCCGTCAATGGATTCGATTCGAAGCGTTGATAACCCCGTTTTCATCGTCCAACGCGGAAACAAATCCTAAAATCCGAGAAATTTGCCCGATTACCTGTTCACACCGATTCTCGAGTCATCCTACTTTCAACCCCCTCAAGATACATATATATACATATATATATATATGTATACATATATATATATATATATATACAATAACAAGGCTAAACGGTCGATCGGGGCGAGCATTGACCAAGCTCGCGTAAGATGGATTTTGAGGAGGATGGAGGCGGGTTAAGGAGATCCGTAGGAGTGACTACATACCCGTTCTACGTACCCTCGAGTGGTGGCCCCATAAGGGCACGGGATGCACGCTGTCCGTGGCAGGGGTTGGTCTCGCGGCCGCGAGGAGTGGGGGGCTCCGAGAGCCGAGGAGAGGGGATTCCCCGGCACTCCGCGAGCGGTTCGAAGCCAGCCGGCCTCGTCCGACCTGGAAGGGAGCCGGGGAACAGAGTTGGCGGAGTTGCCAGACGGGTTTCTGCCGAGGCAGGACGAGCTCGCTTCCCATGGCTCTTTCTGACGGGGGCTCCGTTAAACCGACGGTGTTCGCCGATGTTTCTTCTCCTCGTCGTCGTTTCGAGTGCGAATAGAGATATTTTTCCGATCCGTTCGATATACGCGTCAACGCGACACATATACGGGTACGGCTCGAGGATCGAACTTTTCAACATTTGGATTATATTATAATATATTATAATTCCCCCCTTAACTTCCTCCCGAGTGTGTTTCGAGGACCGTGTGTGGGAGGATCAAGAGGGGAGAAGAAGGAGTGAGATTGGAAATTGTGCGTTCGAGAGATCGGGAGAACTCTGTTATTATAAAGTAAAAAGAAGTGCGCGGAATCGAGAGTTGTTGGTGTTGGAACCGTCGCACGAAGAGAGAGAAGTTGGTGCACCTGCCGCAGTGATTCCCGTGGCGCCACTCACGTGTTGCATGCGTGCCGCGCTATCCATCATGGTCGCGGGTTGGGAGCGGCTCTGATTGGTCGCCGCCGCGGTCACGTGGTATGGTAATTGGGCTCCGGTGGGCGGGAAGGAGCGAACGAGGCCGCGGAGCTTGGTGGAAGATCGCAAAAGTGGCGGAAGGAGAGGAGAGGATAAGCAGCTGTCCACCGGGAGTCTGCTGCTCTCCGTGGTCTTGCTCTTTTCGCTCGTTTTTCCTTTCCCCCTTGCTCTCTCTCTCTCTCTCTCTCTCTCTCTATTTCTCTCTCTTTCTCTCTCTTTTTCTCTCTCTTTCTCTATCTCTCTCTCTCTTTCTCTTTTTCTCTCTCTTTCCCTTTTCCGCCTTCGCCAGAGACTGGCCAAAGAGTGTGTGTGTGTATATGTGTGTGTGTGTGGTGTGTGTGGTGTGTGCGTGCGTGTGTGTTGCGTCGCCACCCTTTCCCTTCCGCTCGAAAAAGTCACCCCGACGGAGAGAGGGATGTCGGCCACAGTGCAGTGCGGTTCTGTTACAGTGTTCCGTTACCGCTTCTCGACTCGATGAATATCGTCATCAACATGGAACCACCGTGTTCTCCTCTTCTATGAATTAAAAACTAACTCGACTCGAGGAAGGGGGAACGCTTTTCTCCTCGACCGATTCGAGAGAGAGAGAAAGAAAAAAGAAAGAAAAGAAAGAAAGAAAGAAAGAAAGAAAGAAAGAAAGAAAGAAAGAAAGTGCGTTACGTTTCGAAAAAGGAGAGAGAAAAAGAAAAAAAAAGAGTGGTGTCAAAAGGGAAAGAGAAACGCTCGTGATAAAAATGAGCTCGTTCCTGATGAATCCATCCGCCGGCGGTGGATATCATCACCACCAGCACCAGCAGGCAGCGACCAGCCACCATTTGGCGGCCACCTCCGTCATGGTGGACCCAAAGTTCCCACCCAGCGAGGAGTACAGCCAAAGTAATTACATACCGTCCACGGGGGCCGACTTCTTCCCTCCCGCCACCGGTGGTGGCCACCACCTCAACCATCCGCAATCCCATCAATTGCAATACGGATATCACCAGCATCACCACCAGGCCGCGTCCACCCCTTACGGCGCCTCCTCTGCCGTCCAGTTGAACGGCGGTTACGCGGGATACGGTGGCTACTACGGGCCCCATCATCCCCATCACCAGGTGCACGCCGTGCATCACGCGAGTTTGCATCCGCATCACCACGCGGTGGGCGCCCTGGCGATGCCGCCCGAGGCGCAGCAACCGCCCCTCACGTGCCCATCCTCGATGCAGCAGCAGCACCAGCAGAATCAGCAACAGCAGCAACAACCACCCGTGTCCGCGTCCACGGTGCTTGGAACCACGCCGTTGTCACCCGGGATCATGCAGAGTCACGTACAGCCGCCGGACACCCTCCAGCATCATCAGCAACCGAGCCACGAGGCCACCGCCTGCAGCCCGCCTACTGCATCCGGCCAACTGCATCGCGACAATTCGCCCGATCTGCAACAACAATCGAGCGCCGGTCAACACGTGCAGGGAGGCCAACAGCAGCAGCAGCAACAACAGGGCCAGCAACAGTCACAGCAGCAGCAACAACAACATCATCACGTGGACGATGGATCCGATCAGGACGACGTGGAGGACGATCAGATGATGGACGGGTCGCCTGGAATGATGGAGGAGGAGGAGGAGGACGAGGAGAACGGAGACCGTGTGATTTATCCGTGGATGAAGAAGATTCACGTAGCTGGTGTCGGTGAGTTAAAATTTTCAATGGCCCGTTCATATATATATATATCCACTCGAGGTAGTCGTGTTGGTCCAATTTAGATAGTTTGATAGAGGAGACGTTTTTAGAGTAGTAATCGTGTCAATTTCAAAGTCGAGGATGATAGGAGGGAGAGGCTAATCGGTCTTCGTCCGACGGAACGAACGGCCGTCATGCGTCGTTTTATTACTTGTATAACGTATCTTCATTTTCCACTTTCGTAGTTAGTTAGTTAGGTTTTTTCGAAAAGTTATTTTTGAAAAATTGTCTACTTTCTTTCTTCGCATCACGCGACGAGGAATTCGGAAGCGAATTTAACTAACTAAACTGTTGCAACGCAAGGTGATGGGTTACGGAAGAAGAGTGATGGGCGCCGATTTATTATTGCACCTTTCCCTCTCGATCACCTGCGCGCGAGATTTTAGAAGCCTGTCCATTTACCGCTTATTCGGTCACGCCTGGTGTCGCTATTCTTCATCCCGTACCGCGCGTCAACTTGAGAAATAGCTAAGCGTTTAAGAACGACTCTGAACACGCGTTAGAAAAACGGACAAATCGACGGGAAGTTTGTCTTATATTGTCGAGGGGGAAGGGGATCGATTGGTGATCTGTCGATCGTAGATCGTACAACGCCGCTTCGATAATTTCCTTTCTCGTTTGCCACCTGATCCTGAATGGTCCTTCGCAAGAAGTTTTGTGTCGATTCATGGAAAGTCCTTTTTACTTGTTTCTTTTTTTGAATAGAATTGAAATTGCTAGAATATATCAGGTTTTATTTTACGGAATTGTAAAGATTGATCTTAACGTGCAATCGTGTTTTCGTTCGAACGATTTCCAATTACTTTTCAAAAAAAAGTCGTCCATCCTGGCGAGACATCGATTTCAAACTTTGTTCCGTGAAATATATAACAAATAAATAATCGATATGGAATATTCGTCGTTCCATTATAAATTTGCGTATTAACGTTTTTTACCGACTTCTACAAAGGCCGACTTCTTTTTTTCGAAAGGAAGGGAAAAGAAGAAAATAGTTGGTCGAAACGTATTATCCTGGGCTTCACGGCAGGCGAACGGTTTTGCTCGATACAGAGAGAGGTTGGAAATAGTTTATTGGGAACGTTTCGATAAAAATGGCGTGAGTCGAGGGTTCCTGTCCGCGGGAGGCATTTCGCAGAGGGATTATGAACGTTCAAAGGGAATTTTTGCAACGTAATATCCCAGAGAATTGGGCTGCCTTTGCAGCCACGAATTTCTATTCCCGGTTTTGACCGGGGAAAGTGGCTGTTCATTCCAGCTTGCAACTATTTTCGCTTTTAGCTCCGTTCTATCCCGGATAGTATCGCCGCCGAATATCATAATTCATATTTCCAGGTATAACAAAAAAAAAAAAAAGGTGGTATCGCCGATGAAAAAGAAACGTGCAGTAGGGCGTATATACGCGAAACGAGTTTTTAACGCGTCCGTAACGAAACTTCTCTTTTCGCGTGTAAATTTCTTTGGAACGAAGGTGTACAAGTGTATGATATGATAATAATAAGAAGGAAAAGGTTTGAATAAGTTTCGAAGATATAAGATTTCGAAAAGATACTGCAATTCTTCAAGCCTTTTGATCTACGATATATGCTTAAATAAAAGTTGTGGACAAATGATTGAAATTGATTATATATCCGTTTAAAATGATTTTCTATTTTTATTCTACGAAAAAATTCACTAAATTTAATAATCCTCACCTCACATATTTATTATATTAATATTTTATTTCAATCTCAAAAAGTTCCAATTAAAAATTTTATCAACTTCATTTACTTGTATAAAGGCTTGAAAATTGTAATATATATAAATCCAATCAATAGAAATACTTATTAAATTAAACTCAGTCCAAAAATATTAAAAATATGAAAAGAAACAAATACTTTCCTTGATATATCATACCATAACCTTTACTTCTTTCTCAATTCTATCTCAAAAAATCCTAAGATTTCCAACTTCCAAAATCTAAAAATCCTATCAATATTGTACAAAGGATTTGTACAAAGGAAATCATAAATCCAACTAATAAAAATATTTACACTTTTAAATCCAATCCAATATTAAAGATATAAAAAGAAAAAATTTATACCATAACCTTTACTTCTTTCAACCAACAATAAAATTTCATTCCCAGAAAACTAAATTAATTATCACTTTGTTTCTATCTCAAAAAATTATAAGACTTTCAAATGAAAATCTATCCTATCTATACAATAGAAATATATTGTAAATTGAACCCAATCCAATACTAAAGATATAAAAAGAAACAAATTCTTTTCTTAATATCAAGAGTTGTACAAATCCTCTTTCAATAAAGAAATTCAATAGAAATACTTATAAATTAAATATTAGTCTTGATATAAATATAATATATAATATAATATAAAAAATATAATCATGATAATATAGTCCTATTAAAAATATAAAAAGAAATAAATTCTTTCTTTGATATATATATAACCTTTGCTTCTTTCAATCAACAATTTCATTCTTGATTCAGAAAATTGAACCAATTATTACTTTATTTCTGTCTCAAAAAAATTTCAAATAAAAATCTATCAATATTTACTTGTATTATATAATTATATTAATTATATAAATCCAATAGAAATACTTACAAATTAAACTCAGTCCAATATTAAAAATATTAAAAAAGAAATTCTTTCTTGATATATTATTTCATAATCTTTACTTCTTTCAACTAACAATGAAATTTCATTCCCAAAACTGAATTAATTATCACTTTGTTTCTACCTCAAAAAATTATAAGACTTTCAAGTAAAAATCTATCTTATCTATCCAACAGAAATATTTATAAATTAAATCCAATTTAAAGATATAAAAAGAAACAAATTCTTGGTATATCATATGATCATATCATATGATAACCTTTACTCTTTCAACCAACAATGAAATTTCCAAAAAAATTGAACCAATTATTATTTTATTTCTACTTTCAACAAATTGTAAGACTCTCAAATGGGAATCTATTCTATCTATCCAACAGAAATATTTATAAATTAAATCCAATATTAAAAATATAAAAAGAAAGAAATTCTTTCCTATATCATATGATAACTTTACTCTTTCAATCAAGAATGAAATTTCATTCCCAAAAAAAACCAATTATTATTTTATTTCTACTTTCAAAAAATTCTAGACTCTCAAATGGGAATCCTATCCAACAGAAATATTTATAAATTAAATCCAATATTAAAAATATAAAAAGAAAGAAATTCTTTCCTTGGTATATCATAAGATAACCTTTACTCTTTCAACCAACAATGAAATTTAATTCCCAAAAAAAACTAAGCCAATTATTACTATCATTTCTACTTTCAAAATTTCCAAGACTCTCAAATGAGAATCTATCCAATAGAAATATTTATAAATTAAATCCAATATTAAAAATATAAAAAGAAAGAAATTCTTTTCTTGATATATTACGCCATAACGTTTACCTCTTTCAACCAACAATGAAATCTCATTCCCAGAAAAAAATCTTCCCCCTTCTTCGACGAGCTCTTCGAGACGAATCTACTCTACGAAGAGGTCGTGTCATTTTTATCGTCAGCAGTATCATTTTCGCGCGCAACACGATCCTCGTTCGAGTTCGACGTCCAGCAAAGTCTGGTATGCGCGTCCGTCGGTCTGTCGAGCCGGACTGCAATCTCTCTCCCTTCTGAACCGCTGTTACGAGGGACCGTCGGTCAGCCTCGGAATGGAATGCGTCTGCACAGATTCTAAACCGTACTCGGTGCCGTGGTGTTTCCTCTATCGTGGCTTCGGACCACCAAGAAACGCTTCTAGGCATCCGAGGATTGACGTTTGTCTGTGATACGGGCAATGGATCGATGCACGAGCGCCATCACCTTCGTTTCGTCTCGAGTCGACAAGAGATGCGATGGTACGCTTTGATATCGTGGATCACGTGGTCGTAATGGAAACGGTGGAAATGGTTAATCGTTGGTGAGAAGGTTAGGATGAAAATTAATAATTGAATTTGGGAAAAAAGGAAAATTGTGGTGCGGAATAGAGAAAGATCTTAAATATTGGATTAATGGGAAAAATTGAATTCTGAAATATGGATGAGAGAACGATACGATATTATTTCGTACGACACATCGTAACGACTCGCGAGAGAAATGTAATTGTATGTGTAAATGAGAGAATGATGATAATAGTTTGACATATTGGATAAAGAAAATTGAATAATACCGCGGAGACGGTAAGTGCAATTATAAATGCATTATATCCGCTGTTGATCTAAAGATTTTACAACTAGATCTATCACTCGAAGATTGATTCCTTCGTGATTGATTTTATTATTTGCTTCCTCGTGTAAAAATATATTAATTTCAAGTGTTTATAAAATTCTCGATATATCAATTATATCATTAGAATTTCCGTTTCTCGTTATTTGAAGAGAAGAGAAATAACGAAATAAATAAATAAATTAATCAGAGGAGTTGAAGAAATTTCAACTTTAATTATTACATTACTCGATTCGTCGCGTCGAATTTACTTATTTGCATCCACCATTTTTATTATTACGATCGCCTGCCAAGCAATTCAATCCAATTTCGACGATCATCTGGCGACACGGCCTTGAAACAATCGGCCTCTGCCGATTGTGAAATCTAGAGCCGGTTGTTCCACGCGTCTCTTCGAAGAAACGTCGTTGCACGTGTCATATTTTTCTTTATCCGTATACATATACATATGTATATATATATATATATCATGTATTCTACAAAGTCGATCAACGACGCAAGGCTTAAAATAATTACTGATTGCACGTCAGTCGAAGCACGAGTTTTTGGAATTTGCAAAAAAATTTTCAACCAACGTCATAGATCAAAAGCTTGCTTGGACATTTAAGTAATCAATTATCTGTTAATTTTTCTACTCTGTATATGTATATATATATATATACATATATATGTATTTTTTAATGGATGAGCTATTTTGGGATCAAATTTGAAAAAATTACACATTTTATTGCTCTTTCCACTTATACCTCCATTATTATCGTGGAAATCATTCGTTGAATTATTCTTGCCTTTGTTTATTCCTATATACGTGTTCCTGATAAATAGAAAAATATCGATTCTCGCATATTAAGTAAAAAAAAAAAAAAAAAAAAACCGCGATAGCATCGACGTATAATTGCTTGTATAATTGCTCGGGTATTTGTGCTGTGCTACTTCGTAATAATAGACGAGGTCGAAGCCATTACTTGATATTTACTAAAACTCGATGTCGTCTAAAAAAGAAAGAAAGAAAGAAAGAAAAACACCAATTTCGTTTATCATAAGCAATTCTCTTTCTTTTTCTTTTTTTAAATAAGTTTAATTATACAACTTTCGGATCGAGGCGGTTTAATTTTTAGAAACGCTTGCGTCATCGTTTCGTGACAACGATGCAAAATTCTCGATTCCGCGCTGTCGTTTCACAGGAAAAACTTTCAATTTTACTCCCTTTACGAAAAAAAAAAAAAAAAAANAAAAAAGGGAAAGAAATCACAATTTCTCACTCGTCGAAAATAATTCAACTCCCCAATGAAAAAACGAGAAGCAAAAACGAAATTAACACCGCCCCCGATCTCTGTTTCGATTATTTCAGCGAACGGCTCGTACCAGCCCGGGATGGAGCCCAAAAGGCAGAGGACCGCGTACACGAGGCACCAGATCCTCGAGCTCGAGAAGGAGTTCCATTACAATAGGTACCTGACGAGACGGCGACGTATCGAGATCGCTCACACCCTGGTCCTGTCCGAGCGGCAGATCAAGATCTGGTTCCAGAACCGTCGGATGAAGTGGAAGAAGGACAACAAGCTGCCCAACACGAAGAACGTGAGGCGGAAGAACGGGACCGGGGGCCAGGCGGCGCCCTCCGCCGGCAAGTCGTCCAAGGCGGGGGCGTCGAGCAGGCCCAAACTGTCGGCGGGGAACAACGGGAACAACAACAGCCAGCAGAGCAGGAAGAGCAACAACAATTCGCCTCCGTCGATGGCGGACGGAGGGATGGAATCGAACTCGTCTCAGCAGCAGCAGCAATTGGGCCTGGCCGACCCCTTGGTCCCCGACGTGCACGCCGCTCTTCCGCATACGAGCGTGGTCCACCCGAGCTTCCAAGGCCACCCGCACCCCCTCGCCCATCTCCAGGCCCAGCTGAGTCATCACCACGTGACCGGGATGATGGAGGGACCCCCGGCTGGCGGGCCGCTGGGCCACATCGGCTCCGGAAGCATCAGCCCCCTCGCCCCTGCGACCAGCCCCTCTGCCTCCCTCCAGGTCTCGGCCCCCATCCACCCGCCCCCGATCAAGTCCGACTACGGCCTCACGGCCCTGTAACATCCGCCCCTCGACAGGGACCAGGGCCGCTCGAAGATCGAAGAACCCCCCGTGCACGGTGGCGGCCGAGGCTTCGTCGCCGTTTGGTAGCGAGTGAAACGTAATAATAGGCTTCGTCGCCTGTTGCAGTTAGTTGCGGTCGATTGGTGTACGAGGGACGAGGTTGAATTGATATTTTATGATCGTTTTCTTCTTCTTCTTCTTCTTCTTTCAATTCAACAGCGATAACGTTCGAATTCGTTTCCTTCGATCGTAAAGGGGGGAAAAAATGTGTGAATCCGGATCTCTGGATCCATAGCTCGGGCACGAAGGGGAGGGGGGATGGCTGAGTCATCGTCATCCGGGCGATCCGGTACGAAACAAACGATCGCTTTTTTTCCCCTCCGGCTGGTTGGCGCGAGTCTGACGTCGTCGTCGTATCCAATCATCTCGTCTCGAGCCTGCTCGAGAGTGTTCGAGGAGTGCGGCGCGCGTGCAAGAAGCGTCGAGGAAGGTTGAGCGACGTTCTCGTCAAGTGTGAGGAAACGGGGTGTGAAGAAAATTTGGAAGGATGGGGTGGAAGGACGAGGGTTGAAAAAGTGTGGAAACGTGTGACGCGACGACGGATCGAAAGATGTATTATTGGAAAATTTGTTCGCTCCTTTCTTTTTCTTTTTTTCCGTTTTGCTCGAGAAATGGTGGTGGAAGATGATGTGTCGTTTCCGAAGAGAAAACACTGTCCGTGTTTCGGTTCGAAAGTCGGAGTCGCGAAGGTGTACATGTATATACACACGCATACACATACACACACTCATAGACAGACACACGTAACGTGCGCATGTATATAGCCGTGTAAAGAAAGTCGTCTTATCGCTATGTGATTTAAGTGCATCGTATTTCGTACGTATAATTGCGTAAGTGTGCAAGGTTTTTAGCGTCTTAAGTAATTTCGATAGGGAGCCACAATTTTAAACGCAATTTTACGATGTTTTCGTTCGTTCGTGAAGGAAACGTAAAAAACGTGATGCCCGAGTTCCGAGACGCGCGAGGAAGAAACACGGGAGGGGGGAGAAAAAGGAAGAAAATAAATGAACGAAAATATTTTAATTTCTCGAGACGAAACTTCTCTCCCGAGAGATTAGAAGATTTGTGTAATTTCAATTTACGCAGAGAGAAGCAAAAAAAAAAAAAAAAAAAAAAAAGAAAACCAAAGTTTCTTTTTCGTAGTATATCATTCTAAAAAAAGGGGGAAGGGGGAAGAATAAAAAGATACTCTTCTAATATCTCGTCCCCTCTCCCCAAGAAAAAAAAAAAACTATGTAATCAAACGTCTGGAGGGTTCCTCTTTAATTTGTCCAATCATCGTTAGTTTTACCGACGAGACTTGGCCAACTTAGGTTCGTTGTCCCGGCGCAAAGTGGAAACTTCCTGCGCTCGTCAGACATTGCGCGCGACGCGGACACACGAACGGACGGACGGACGGACAGAGTCAGAATTTTTTCCACGGGCTCACACTTATTGTAAATAAGCGATGGCGTAAATATCGTCTATTTTTATCGAGAGAAGTGATGATAGAGAACGACCAATGACGAGGATATAGATTAAAGGGAGAAAAAAGGAGGAGGAAAGAGAGGGATGCGTAAAAGGTGTTCATTCATTCGATGGGGAGGTTAAGCTAATCGAACATGGGGAGATTTCAAACATGCACAGAGTCGCTGTGACGATATACCAAAACGATGTTTTATCGGTTTATAAATATAGGATTCGTAGAGGTTAATTAAAAAAAAAAAAAAAAAAAAAAAAAAAGAGCATCGATGAGCAACCTGGATCATCGTTTTTTCCGAAACGAAATATTTCTTCGATTTCTTCTTTATTGTTACGAGCCGATGACGAAGGAGGAGACCACTCGAAGTATGAAGTATTGCACAATTATTTTTTTTTTTTTTTAAGAATAACAAATGATTTGTGATAATAATATAATATTTTGAGAGATTGATCTGGAAGAAATTAATCTGATGATTTGATCGATTTAATCTTTTCGAGAAAGAGGAGGCGGGGGACGAACGATTCAGGTTATTTGTCGAAGATGCGAAATGAAACGTTTGCCCGTGAAATGTTTGGACGGAACTGAGCGGGGCAATCTAGCGTGTAATTTAGCGACAGTTTTAAGCGAGAGAAGAAAATATAAAAAAGAAAAAAAAAAAAAAAAAAAAAAAAATAAGCGCACGAATTCAACGAAAAAACGTTCTATTAAGTGTGACAACATTATTATATTCCTTGATGATCATTCTATCGATAATTGTATATAGCCTGTACGATAATTTGAACGTATTCGGGCACAGTACGATGCTTTATGTTTATATTTGATCAAGTAGAGACAAGATCAAGATACAATCGTGAAGTAAAGTGAATCAATAAATAAATGTTTCGTAATTTACAATTTTCTCTCGAGATTAATAGAGAGATTATTACATTATTACATTACTCGACGATCATCATTACTCATACTATATACTTAACCATTGGAAAAATTTGGAATCGGAATTTCGGTCGGAAAGGGAACTTTGAGAAAAAGAAAAATTTTTAATTCTCTTTTTATCATTATCAAAAAAGATTGGAATAAATCGGTTAGTTTAGAAAATTGTAAAAATTCTGAGGGGGAAAAATCCGACGAAAGATTCCAAAATTTTTCAAATTTCTATTTTTATCCCTCTCTCTCTCTCTCCTCGCCTCTCTCCATTTTTCCTCAAACGATTCTCTCGATTCGATGATAACTCGATCTAATTTTCCACGAATATTTATTGTTTTGTTCGTGTTTCCTCCTTTCCCTCTCCCCTCGACGCCTTGTTATCGTCAACGCGTGAAAAATGGACATTTCGGTTATTATAGATTCATTATTATCCCGCTTATTTTTTTATCGGTTATTTTTTTCTTTTTTTTTTTCTTTTTTTTTTCCGCGCGACACATCACTCGCGCGGGAAACAAACGATAGCCGAACCGGAGCCGAGGTAAACTTGTTAGTTGACGGCGTTGACAGTATCTCATCCATATTACGTATGTAAAGTATGCGCGCATATATTTACCGGTTTACACGGTGGTGTCCTCCGCGCGTATAATAAATCATTTCCCATTTCGAGAAAGGGGGATACCGCCGATGGAAAAGGAAGAAAAAAAGGAAAAAAAAAAAACATCGACGGAGGAGATAATGCGTTCCTATGAATCATGGAATAACCGATAAAGCCGAAGCGACGCGACGCGACATCGCCTCGACATCGCCTCGAGTGGAAAACTTGACTCGAAAAAATTCCGTTTCCCTCGAAACGAAAATCGATCGAATGCAATTTATCGCAATTTATTATTACACGATTGCCCGCATGATCCAGTTACCTTTGAAAATTAATTTTTTCAAAGAAACATCCAACCAAGAGTTATCGATTTCTTATATCGAGACACCACGCGAGAGCTTGTGCACGATTTACAAGCGTAGTGCGGTGGACAATTGGGTTGCAGAAAAAAGGGGTTCTCCAAGCGTTGCGCTATCTTGTTGGAGCGCGATGCGTGCGGCGTTGCCGTGGTCGCGCATGCGCGAGCCTTCGGTCGGCTCCGGGGCGGGGTGAGGAGGGGGGATATGCCGCAGCAGCCTTGGAAAGAAGGGTGGCACCCGGAAAGCGAATGAGGGGCCGGCTGCACGACCCTGCCTCCGCCCATGCAACCAGCAGCCCGGCCAACAGCCGAGATAACCTGCTACCACCCAGGATCGAAAGTTATATACGCGTCCCGTTCCTCCCTCGCTTTCTCGTTTCTCCAGTTTTCTGGAATGATCCGGGCAACGATGACGCTCGACTGTAATATTTTTTTGCGCTACGAAAACACTGTTCCTCTTCTTCCGTTGAAGAAGGATGTCAGAACGAAGAATTTAGAATCTCTAACTTGCAGATTGGAAAGAAAGAAGATTGGATTGAAATAAAGAAGAAAAAAAAGCAGAATACGAAGCTATATATATTTGCCCTTTCCCGCTTCAATTGACATTAATTTGTGTTACACCAGGAGGATCTGTCGCGAATCACGGTGCAAAAAGCAGCGGGAATCAGCGGTAGACAACGGATTACTAGCAAGACCCTTAGACAGAGGAAGGAAGCGCGCAAGAGCAGCGGCTAATTGCAATATCTAACACATTAATCCTCTATCCACGACCCACCTTCTCTTCCTGCCCCTGAATACCCTTACAAGCGTGCTCTCGGAAATAGATTGTGTTGGGCGTGAATTAAGGTTGAAACAGGCTGCTGACCGTTTAGACTTAACCATTCTAAAACGAGACCTCGAAATAATTGATCAAAGGCTTAACAAATCTATTCCCAATAAATTTAAAATAAATCAGACCGACTAAGTAGGTAAGATCGTCGAACGATCTTTAAAATATACACGTGTATATTTAGACAAATGAAACTGAGACGTAATGTAATAAAGGATAATATCCGCTATCGAATAACGAAAAATGTCCAAGAAGGAGGATCTCCAATCCCAATTTCCTCTCAAGAAGGGATATTTCCTCTCTCTCGAGGCAGCCATGTTCCACGCTCGTGATAATACCCTCTTCCGTTATCGGATCAACCTTTGCCGTAGATATTCGTGACCCGTATTTTCCGGCAACGTCGCGCCACCTACACACCGCGTTCCAGATTCGTCGCGGCAAAGACAAATGGTTCGCAATGGGGTACGGCCGTTCCGCCTCGCATCGTCCGACTCGCAATCGGCCGATCTCTACAAGCTGTACCGCGCAACCACCGGTGTACGGTGGGTGGCCAAACGCAACGCGAAATTCGCGCCTCCTCCCCCCTCCCCCCTTCCTTCCCTTTTAGAGACTCAACGGGCTGTGACCACACACCTCGTCGGTGTTGCGCAACAACGATGAACGATTCGCGGAAATTTTTCGATTCGATCGAGATTCCTCGAAAGGAATTCTTCGATTCTTGGTGAGATGTTTTAACTTATTTGCGGGAAATATTTATCTGTATGTATATTATTTATTTGGATTTGTTTGCAACAAATTTTTCATTCTCGAGAATTTAATTTCTCGATTATTTTTACTTTCCTTCGAGGATATGAAGAGATGTGGATATTTGTGATGTAAGAAATACTCGTCTCTCGTTGGCTCTTATTATTTGGAGATTACGACGAAATGGTTTTTCGAGGAATTTTTATTCTCAAACGAATACTTTGAAGATGTAACAAAATAGTGTGGATGGAATATTCATTTTTGAATTCATCGTAAGTACATTTGCAATTCGGTCGATCCTAAAATTCGAAAAATGACGTGAATAGATATCCATTTATAAGAAATATCTTCAAGAGTTTTCGAAAGCTGTATTCGAAACTTTATTAAATAAAATTCGGCACAAGTTCATTATATTTGCATCTGTATTATCGGTCGATCGAAAAATTCGAAGATAATAAAAATAACGTTGATTCGAATCGATATCCTTTTACAAGAAATATCTTCAAGATACAATCTGATCGATCCTAAAATTCGAAAAAATAATATTAAATCGAAAAATTATGTGAATAGATATCCATTTATAAGAAATATCTTCAAGTTTTCGAAAGTTGTACTCGAAACTTTATTAAATAGAATTCACACAAGTTTGCATTTATTATATTTGCATCTGCATTATCGGTTAAACGAAAAATGTTTCGAAAAATGATATGGATAGAATACGATATTCTTTTACAAGAAATATATTCGAAATACAATTCGAAAAAATAATATTGATTCGAAAAATATCTTCAAGAGTATTCGAAAGTAGTACTCGAAACTTTGCTAAATAAAATTCAGCACAAATTTGCACCCATTATATTCGTATCTGCATTATCGGTCAAACGAAAAATTCGAAAATAGTAAAAATAATGTTGATTCGAATAATGAGATGGATAAAACACGATATTCTTTTTCAAGAAATATATTCAAAATGCAATTCGAAAAAATAATATTGATTCGAAAAATGATGTGAATTGAATACGATATCCATTTATAAGAAATATCTTCAGTTTTCGAAAGTTATACTCGAAACTTTGCTAAATAAAATTCGGCACAAGTTTGCACCCATTATATTTGCATCTGCATTATCGATCGGTCGAAAAATTCGAAGATAACAAAAATAACGTTGATTCGAATCGATATCCCTTTACAATAAATACCACCAAAAATTTGAATTCGCCACAATTACATTTGCACCCTACGTAATCTGCTCGATCGAAAAATTCGAAAATGACAAAAAATTGATTCGAAAAGCGACAGAACACGATATCCAAACGCCAAGTGCTCTCGAAACTTGTTCGAATTCATCGTGAGCACATTTGCAATATAGCTCACACCGTTCGATCGAAAAATTCGAAAGGTAACGTTGATTCGAGGGATCCCCAATTATGCGTAATTGGGAGAAGGGGGGATTAACGAGTCACGAGTCCATTTATCAGGGCTCGTAATTACAAAGCATCTCTCTCTCTCTCTCTCTCTCTCTCTTTCTCTCATTTCCCACCCCTTCTCACCGTGGCGCGCGTTCATCGCGTCACTTTACTCCTCGCTGACTGACATCCCCCCAGAGGCAGTTTCGCATCTCAAATACACATTAGGCTGTAACTAAAGATAACAGGAGGCCCGTGTCGTCGATTGGGGGAGCCGGTGAAATTAGAGCGCCGCAGACACCTCGTCACTCCTCGATGCTAATCTAATACCGAAACAAATTTTTGCAACGAGAAGAGAATTACAAATAAACATTTCCCTTTTTAGAAATTGTATATAAATATATACAATATACAATACATGTATACAAATATATATATATATATATACTTTTATAAAGGAAGTATCGTCACATGGTGTCGAAATACTATCACGTGGGAGGAAATACAAAATAATGGGAGATGCGTGTTTTTCGATCACTTTGCCGAGTCGTGCACTTTATCTCAACAGGAAGTGTCCGGCTCAACAGGAATGCCTTCAACCGCGATCTCCCGCGTCCTCATAAATCTTCCAATCTACTCGAAAAGCTGCCGCATGCCAGCGGTAGCATCCGCCAACAGCGTATTCTCCAACCGAGAATTTTCGTTGAATCGAATGGAAATTTTCACAAGAATAATTCTCTTATCCCTGACGTATTAAACGGATAAGATCTAATTTCAATTAGATCTGGGTATCTGAAATTTTACATAAATATATATATA